ACCCAAGGGCATCTTCCACCAGCAGCTTCCCTTTTCCCAGAAAAGCCTGGTCACAAATGCACTCCCACTCAGAATCGCAACCATTCACACAACTCCAGAATCCAACGAACCAGGTTCATACAGCATTCAGAGTTCAACACCTTTTCCGATAGTTACTGTGATGCTGACTAAGGGTCACGAAGTCTATACACACAATTACGGGCACACAGAAAGGTGAAAGACATAAGCAAATGGCTGTTCTGTAAGTGATCACACAGCTGTGTCCTGACCTGTGGTTCTTGTGCATTTCCTTCTCTCTTTTCGTCATCTTTAAGATTTGATTTTAAGGGTGGATTCTGAAAGAAGAGAAATCTTATTTATGCACATTATATATACATTGACAACTCCATTAAATACAAATCAATTTTACAACATTGAAAATCAATTATTAAAAAACTACACAATGATTTCATATAATTAATTACAGCGTGGTTCACCAGTTTTAGAACACTTATAAAGTGTATCAATAAAATGTATCAAAAGCCTTCTAAGCAACAAAGGTCAGCATACACTTTACTTAGCATGAAGAAAATTGGTTTAAAAGAAAAAAAGAAAGAAAATTGGTTTATTCTCCCTTCAGGTTTTTTGAGATCTTATGATGGTCCTTTAGGCCCCTACTCCCACTTCTACCCGACTCCCCACGCCATCCCCACTCTGGCTGTACTGTAGACTGAACTAGCAGTGAGCTACATTCCCAGCACTTTTTTTATTTTAAGACAGGGTTTCACTAAATTGTCAAGGCTGGGCTTGAACTTGCAGTCCTTCTGCCTTGGTCTCCCAGAGTGCTGGGATTACAGGCCTGCACCACCACCCCTGGCTTAGTATTGCTCACTGAAGAGAGTTTGCCTATTAAAACAATACTCAAACAGACTATTTTACTAAATGTCATGGTCATTCATGGAGCCTATATGTGACTTAAATTATTCAAACGTTCTAAAATGCGTTACCCTCTTTAAAATAAGTAATTATTGTCTTCCTCCCAAGACCAACATCTCATCTCTTCCCTTATTTACTTATTTATTTATATTGGGAATCAAACTCACAACCTTGCTCTTGCCAGGCAGTAGCACTATGCTGCTGCACTATATCCCTAGCCCCCTCTTCTCTATCTTTTCTGTAAGTTTTGGGCCCATTTATTTTGTATCATGGAAAGTCAACATTAGCAACAAACCTTTCCAAGACAATCTATGGGTTGCACTATCTATCGAACATTTGTGAATACACCGACAAATGACCAGATAAACAGTAAGTGAACAGAAATGGTTTCTATATATTTTTTCCAGCTATATTTACAAAAATGAAATGGGATAGTTTAAAGAATGAATTTAGCAACAGTGGCATTTCAGGTTTCCAGGGAAAGACCATTTCTCCAGCTGAAAAGGCTAATGTGGCCAGCTCCAGCATCAATACCTTTGGGTCAGAAAACTAAATGGAAATCTGCGCTGATGGAATCTGCAAATAGACAAGCCACATCAGGGGTGGGACACGGTAGACAAAGAAGGACACAGCCTGTCACCATGGGTGACTAATTCAAAATTTTAAAACAATGTTGGGATCGATGCTACACCAAAGAAAACTTAGTGCTAGATCTGACCCCAAAGACCGCCAATCTACAACCTATGGAAATGCCAAGCACAAAGATTGTAAATCTACAGTATAAAAACATACACACACACAAAGACATAGCCACTGACAAAAGCCAAAACGAGAAAGGTAAAACTCTCCAAATCTCTGCTTCACAGAAAGGCAGCCATGAAACCAGGCTGCCTCAGCACACAGCTCTCATGCATAGTAGACAGGAAAGGAGCCAGCTCACTGCTTACCTGTTTGTCTCTGTGCCACTGCTGATGTTCCAAAACTATGTTCTTAATATTCTCAAAAAAATCATCCTTTATCAAGCTGAGGGCTTTGTCTGGTTTGGAGTTATCAGTCGAAATTACACGTTTCATGTTCTGATAATGCTCATGAACATTCAGCATTTCCTGAAAGTGAGAAGATGTGCGCTTGATTTTAATTTTTGAGGAGAAACTTAAAGGCAAAGCTAATGTCACATAAAATTACCTTCTAAGGTGACTGAGTTGGCAGGAAATAATATACAGCAGTACTATGAAAATAATATAATCATAGAAACACTACATCCTTATTAACAAAGCAATTACCTTTTGGAGGTATGAGTTAATGAATTCAGCTCAACAAACATTAGCCTAGACAAAGTTACAGGGAAACAATAGGAAAAGACTAATTTGAGAAGCAGAATTGCATTCCAAGATATAAAATTATTTGTATTATAACATATCATTAAATTTTACTAATAACTACGAACATGTTTTTATACCATATTGTCACATCAAGGACATTTATGGGGGGCTAGCCAGAGAGCTCAACGAACTAAAGCAGGCACAGGGACTGGGGTTCAATCCCCAGCACATGCCCTGCCAGCCTCACCCCCAGGGAGCACTGAGACAGTGATTGAGACTCGGCGTGGTGTCGTAAGCCTGCAATCCCAGTGCTTGGGGGGCTAAAAACAGGAGGATCACTATGAGTCCGATCTGTGTAGTGAGACCCTGTAGACCCTAAGGACATTTATAGGGCTGGGGATGTGGCTCAGCAGAATGCAAACCTAGCAGATATGAGGCCCTAAGTTTGATTTTTCAGCACGGTCAAAAAAGTAAAATAAAACAAAGTAATGCTTCTATATTTATGCTCTTCTTGAAATTGCCATTTAACAACATTCACTCAACCCTCCGCAGGACCTCAAAACCTATGTGGCTCCAATTTTCATCATGAGTTTTAATGACAGGTTATAGAAGATGTTTTATGAAATCATGGTGACAATATTATTTAGCCCTCTAAAACCTTTATCCCAATGGGCAGGTCTGTCAGGTAAGAGAGCCTGTAACAGTCAGACTCAAGAAACTGTATATATCCTGGCATAGGGACTTGTATCTCAGGTCAGCAGAGAACCAGTGACACCTCCCTTATAGATGGCTACTGTGATGACACCCATGCATTCCCAACCCCACCCATTCAGTCAATTCAAGAAAACCCTCGTGCCATCAACACCTGGCCAAGAAATCAGACATCTACTGGTAGCAGTAGATGCTCACACACACAGAATCAGCAACGAGGTAGCCACGTCCAGACGCTAAAGCTAGTTACTAAAGCTTTCAAGGCGCTCCCTTCCGCCAAAAAGATAGGAAATATAAATGTCTTCCCATATACAAAGTACTTTCATCACATGTACTTCATCCTCACCTACTTTTCTGTTACACTTCAGACTGTCGATTTGCTGAATTCTAGGAGCTCTGGTACAACACACAGGCCGTGCAGCCATTCAGAAATGTGAATGAACTCCACTATACCCTGTTGTCTCTGTATCTCAGCTGAATGTCTTATCTAACTCAACTTTAACACAGGGTAAGAATATCTATTATAAAAATAATTTAAAATTATTAAATTCATCTGCTTTGCAGGGATATGGCAGGAGAAAATGGTCTACACAAAGCATCCAGCACAGTTTCTGTATTAAGCTATATCTTCAGACATTTGGTAAACATGTCAACTCCTATTCAAACACCTTTGAGAAGGTAAGGATACTGACTTAGACCTTACTCTATGTATCCAATGTACATTGACTTTTCATACATCTGAGTGAGGGGGTGGCCCATCTGAAATTCATGGTTCCCAGATTAAAATTATCCTCAAAAGTGAAGTTACCTCACAGCACAAAGCTCAAGCGCTTTCAAATAAACTTGTTCCCTGAATTAGGATCACAGCTGCAACCCAGCTGACAGATGTCCCAGGGTTTGTGAACACTTCAGCAAATCAAAGTCTGATCCCTCTTTTACTGCAGATTTAGAAAGTGTGGACAGAGCCAGGAAAAAGAGAAGCAACACTTCTTTTAGGTCCACTGTGCGATATATGCTGCACTCGGCACTCTTCTGGCTTCACCTCATTTTAGTTTTCACACCTGGACAAAATACAGATTGCAGTCACAGCCAGGCCAGGTGAGTGTGCCTGTATTTCCAACTACCCAGGAGGCTGAAGCAGGATGGATGATCCTTTGAGACTGGAAGTTAGAGCCCACAGGGAAACACAGCAAGACTTGGTCTTTAAAGCAAGACTGTGATCCTAGTGCTAATGAGAAGGAAATGAAGGTTCCAAGAGATAAAATAAATGTGACCAAGGTATGCCCACCATTTTCCCGTCTATATGCTTTTGAAACGTCACTGGTTAGATGGCTGCATGTAATCCAGTAGTACACAAGTAGAATTGTGTAAGTACCACTGCTCACCCATGAAAAAAAAAAAAAAAAAAAAAAGCTTTCTTTTTTTAATGTATGTGGTCATTACAGGGTCTCACTATGCAGCTCGGAGTCATGGCGATCCTCCTGCTTTCAGCCTCCCTAGCACTGGGATTACAGGTGTGCAGCACTACTCCTAGACTCTGGCTGGCTCAGCCTGCCCTGAGGGAACAGATCAAAGGGTGGTCCCTGCACTTGCCTAAACTTGCCTAAGCAGGCGCTTTAGTCCACTGAACTATCTCACCAGCCCCCACAAAAAAAAGTTTTTCAATACTATCCATCTAATCACCATTCAATTAAATATTATTGAAAGGAATTTAGGAAATAGTTACTATATAAAAGGAACTTAGGATATGCCCATTGTTAACAGATCAAAAGTCACGCTAAACTCTTTTTATAAAGAGTTTAAAAGCCAAACACACCATGGCAGTTTTAGAACATGAATTAGTACATGAAGCCACACGTTTAATCTAAGTTTTTTACATCTATTTCTCACTATGCTCCAAGATCTATAAATCTGGATATATGTAGGATGCTTCATTTTTGATGCTGTAGAGAAAAGAGAGTATTCTGATTGGTTAAGATCACTAAGAATTGTCCATTTCCAGTAAAGTAAGTTATAAACACAATAAACAATCAGCAAGAAAATATGTATTTTTTAATATTTTAGGGCATAAAAGCAAATTTACCTCTAATACATCAGAAGTGATAAGTTTCATTACACGATCGCTCGGGTCCTTAAATTCCTCTGTAACTTCAGTTCGTTGAATTTTTTTCTTCATTCTATATGAAAGCTATGTGATAACAATAAAAATTATCAATAAATATGAATAAAAGCAACTCTAAATGCATATTTATTAAATATCCACCTTCCAAAGACTATAGACTTGGACTATCCATTACATTCTTTTTTTTTTTTTTTTTTTGGAGACAGGGTCTCACTATGCAGTTCAGGCTGAATTTGAGCCCACTTTGTAGCCCAGGCTGGTCTCAAACTCACAATAATCCTCAGCTTCCCAAATGCTGGGATTATAGGTGTGAGCCACCAAGCCCAGCAATTCCTTCTTTCTTTCTTTTTCCACATTCTTACACATTCCAGTAAGATTCAGAGGTTAACAATTTGCCAGATAATAGTATAATGAGACCCTCTTCAATCTAGTATCGGAAGTGTCACAAAACTGAAAAAATAACAGATTATAATAAGGGTTCCACCTTTTTACCAACTGACATATTAAAACTCCTTGGTCCTCTCTGAGTAACTCCTCTCAAATTGAAATTTAAAAAATGTACAATGCCAGGCATGGTGGTGTATGTATGTAATCCCAGCACCTGGGTGGGAGGCTGAGGATAGCTGTGAGTCCAAGTTCAAGATCAGCCTGAGCTACATAGAGAGACCCTGTCTCAAAAACTGACAAAAGGAGAAAAAAAAAAAAAAAAAAAAAAAGTATAAGCACAGGATGTTGTTAAATCTCATTTCCTCTACCAGAAATTTATTTATACATGACCTCCACAAACACAGCATTCAAAAGCAGAGGCTGAACTTTGACTGCAAGAAAAACTAGGATATTTTTCTCATATTTTAAGAAAGCTACATGTCTTGAACTCTACTAATGGTTTTTACATTTTTTTGGAGATCAAGGTTCTTTCTGGAAAATAAAGTATGACCACTCATTTTGAAAAAGACAATTACCTAAGTCAACATACCAATTTAGGCATTGCTGTAAAGTGAAATGCTCTGTCTAGTCGTAGCTTCCTAAAAATATAAGCTGCATCAAAATGTTGGGCATTTATCAAATCTTGCTGAAATTTTAAAACTTCATCCCAATCCTTTAGTGCAACTCTGATCTGCAACAACAAAATTTAAAAAAAAAAATTGTACAAAATGTAAACCTTTATTTGTAAATGTGTTAATTTTAAAACACACTATTTCTACTTCAGTCCGTATACTGTAAAAAAAAAAAAAAAAAGTATACTGTAGATTGAACAGGTACATTCTACTTAAGCACATAACTCAGGAGTATTACCTTTTGTTTTGGCTGGCACAGCTGGGTGTTATATAATCCATATAACAGATATAAAGCACCAACTCTAATCTGGAAAGTGTAAGGAGGTAAAAAGTATCTCCATGCCAAAGCTAAGGCTTCTTTTGAAAATGTGTTCTTTTCTAAATTTCTCATTTTGCCACTGTAAAACAAAAATATGTAATTATAATTAAGTAAATAAAAAGAGAGAACAGGTACATACTTATTTAAAAGCAGATGTCAGGCCAGCCAGACAACTCAACGGACTAAAACACATGCTTAGACAGATGCAGGGACTGGGGTTCGATCCCCAGCACTCCCTGCTGGCCCTACCCGCCTCAGGGCGCACTGAGACGGTGATTGAGACTGGGCACAGTGATTGAGACTGGGCACAGTGGCACACACCTGTGATCCCAGCGCTTGGGAGGCTGAAAACAGAGGATCACAAGTCTGATCTGTGTAGTGAGACTTTGTAGACCCTATACTACATACATAAATTAAAAAAAAAAAAAAAAGCAGATGCCAATAACAGTGTGAAGATTTCCTGCTGCACCCTTTACTGGACTCAGGTGTCAAGAGCTGCTCTTCTGCGCTGCCCACTTGGACACAAAAGTTAAACCCAGTTTATAGCCTTCAGCTCTACTTACCAAACTGAGCAGAGAAGAAACCTGAAATTATCACTAGTAAAACTACCTGAAACTGCCAACTTAATTAAAACTTTTTTAAAAAGCACCCTGATGTGAGATTAGTTTGTTCTTAGGCATGCTGTGCCAGCCCCGCCTCCAGTGACTGAGACTGGGCGTGGTGGTGCGCCTATAATCCCAGCCCTTGGGAGGCTCAAAACAGGAGGACCACTACGAATCTGATCTGTGTAATGAGACCCTGTACTAGATACATAAAGTGTTTTTAATATTCTTAGATGTCTCAAAGTGTATTATTGAATAGATACAGGTAAATGACACACTTTACAAAATGTTTATATTTGTAAATAATATATTTGAAAATAATATATTTTCATTTAGTAACACTCCTACAGCCAGTAAGCAGCAATTTTATCTTATCTGATTATAAGGAAGGAGGGGAACATGATGCTGCCTTCAAAATTATTTCCTGGGGCTGGGGAGATGGCTCAGTGGAATAAATGCTTCCCTGGCAAGCCCAAGGGCCAGAGTTCAAACTCTAGTTCTGCAAAATAATAATAATAATAATAATAATTCCTATTAGGTAAAACTTGGGGGAACCTAGGCCTGGGAAAATTTCCTTGGTGAGCCCCCACTCTAAAGAGTACAAACTGAAAGATCATAGGTTTTAGAAAGTGGTACATACAGGTTCCAAAATGTGTTCTACCACCTTCTAACTGCAACCCAGTAAAAATCAACCTCCTTAAGCTGCAATTTCATCTCCTGTACAACAACGACAAATTATATCCTTTTTTCATAGTTATTCTATGGATTAAATTAAGCTATGAGTGCATTACACATAAAGGCCAATTTAAAAAATTGGTTCTCTTTTCATTAGCTGCTCATCGCCCAGCCCCTGTAATTTACAAACTGCAGAGAAAAAAAACAGCTTTTACAAAACAGAAAAAAAAAAAAAAAGCTTTTACATTTGATTCAGCAAAACAGTTTTAAGCCTAAAGTCTCATTCAATCGATTAATCAGACTTTTCAATATTACATCATGCTGTCAAAAATAGCTCAGTCTAGCGAAAGAAAAACTGAAACGTGCTAATCTACACAAACATGTGCTATGTACCTGAAACCCATTTAAGGCACACATTAGCTCTCTTAATCCTCACTGCAACTGCATCAGGTATTAGCATCTATATAACGTTTTGCAGGGAAGAAAGCTTAAGTACCCTGCCTCAAATCCTAGTCAGTGCACCCGCCGCATTCCTCTTCACACAGCCGGACTCCATCAGCCGTGCTCTCAATCACTAACGATCCCGCTCTCCCTTCGTCCGCTACACGATGAAAAGTGGTAAGCGGTGAGACAAGTGTAGGCATTAAGGGGGAAACGGAACTCGTGCAGGGGCCAAAACTTCCCCGGAGGACCCATCTATGAGTCCAGATGTGGGTGAAGGATATAGCGCTCAAAGGGGGGAGGGAAGAGGCTCCGCCTTGGGAGACGCCAGTGGAGAAATAGGAGGCGGCCGGTGGGCAGATGGGGTCCCAGGAAGCACGGAAAAATGAACGCAGGCGCGCAGGGCTTTCTTTGCTCGGCTATCGGTTTGCTTTTACAGGTTCGGTTCTAGCAGAACTCGACAGGGCCGGGCCGCCCGAGTCGCAGCCGGAGGAGAGCGCGCAGGCGCAGTGCGGCGCGGCGCGCGCGCCCGGGCCTCCCCCAGCCGCTCACCAGAAGAGCGTCCCAAACTTCATCTTCCTCCAGAGCGCCGAGAAGTCCTCGAAGCGTACACTGTCCATCTCCTGAAAGCGGCTCAGCAGCGTCTCGCAGTCGGTCTGCAAGCCGGAAGAAGCCTCCATGCCTGCGCCGTCCGCACCGAACGCTTAACTATGATCAGCCGACAGCTGTAGCTACCGCCGTGGCCGTGGTAGCTGAGGAAACCAAACCCGAAGCTCCGCCCCGGGCGTCGTGACGTACGCTCTGGGACGTAATGCCGGGCATCTTTAGCTCCGCCTACACACTGCGAGCGAGCCTCTCGGTGCTTACTGCGCGTGCGCGGGAGGGCGGCGGGCGGCCCCAGCGAGCTGGGCTTTCCTTTAATAGGCAGGTTGGTCCTTTAAATTGCAGTGGAGAGTTTGTGTGCCAAGGCTACTCTGAGCTTAAAAGGACTTTAGGTCTTCACTTTCCGCTAGCATTTTGAATTGGCTTTACCATTACTATCGCTCGTCTTAAAAAGGACCCTGGAGATGGAGTGGACAACTGCAAAGCCATCCCCACGAGGAAGGATCGAAAAACAGTGCTTACTCCCTCTGATGCCCGAGACCCTTTACAGTGTATGCTCCCTTAATACAGTGCTTAACATGTGGCATCTCCCTGTACCCCTAGAGTTCTTGAGACCCCCTTCTGGAGAAAAGCTGTATTTCAGATCCTGTTGCAAATAGTTCTCCCATGGAGGATGCTGCAAGCACGCACAGTGCTGAGCAAAGCTTGCCTACATAATCCGTCTTGTTCTTTGGCTAAATTGACTGTAGCCTGCCTCTTACCTTCTTCCATAAGCTAGCTGTGGAGTACTTCATACCATTTTCTGATTGCAAAGCGTGCGATTGTAGTGCTATGCTTTAGTTGTATTGGGATGTATTCGAAAAGGATTGGGTTGTCTTCAGGTGGAGGCTCAACTCAGTTTAACTTTCCTGGTCGTTGTTCTTTTTCAATAGTTTTAGGGCCAGGGAGATAGCTCAGTAGAATAAGCGCTTGCCTGGCAAGCTCAAGGGCCTGAGTTCAATCCCCGGTTCCGCAATAAATAAATAAATAAATAAATAGTTTTATATGTGAGGTTAGAAGCACCTGTGGAACACCTGTTCTAGTGTTTAGGAATCGGAATATTGCCAACCCCTATATGAACCTAAACCATTCCTCTCCCCTTACTAACACCCATCCTGACTTACTTTTTCTCATTCTCTTATATACACTCATCACATCTGTGTGTTTAAACATATTTTAGTTGTACTTGGTTTTGAGTTTTATGGAAATGGTATTGCAATGTAATATATATATTTTTGAACTTGTAATGGTTGGTGTCTAGGTGTCCTCCCAAAACCTCATGCAGTCATGGTGGTGGGCTTCTAGAGTTAGTCCTGGTGTCATGTTGGGATTGAGGGTGTGTGTGTGTGCTATGCCCACCCTAGGGTGGATAGCCTTCATGCAGTATAAGGGGTGGAAAGAGGCTAATGACCTGGCCCTGCCTCTCCCTCCTCCTCTCTTCTTGCTTTTGGTATCTTCCTCCACTATGAACGGTTGCCCCTCTGCAATGCTGTCCCACCTTAGAGCCAGTTGATCATGGATCAAAACCTCTACAAACTTGAGCTAAATAAATTTTTCCTCCCTTCATCTTTGGGTATTGGTTATTTTGCCTCAGCAATAAGAGAAAAGTAACTGTCATGGCTTGGGGTTTTGCAAGGCCAACAGTACAATACAAGACACATTTCATAAGATGATTTATAATAAATCATCCAAAGAATCATACACAAAGAGTACAGGAAATCTGTCCACACACTAAAGACCAAAGAATCCGGCTGAAGACCTGGATCCCACAGTAACATCCTGCTTGAATCCAGCTGAAGACCTAACACCCATAATAATGCCTCCCTTAAGTCCAACTGGAGGCCTAGAGGTGGAAGCTAGAAAATCTGCCAGTGGAATGAAGGACCTGTGCTAGCAGGCTGAGGAGGAATCTGAATTGGAGCCAGGAAATGACATTGAAAGTAAGAACCAGAGCTCCCCTGAAAAATACCACAGCCATCCTCAGCAACAGGGCCTGAGATCCTCAGCAGATGAGGAAAGCTGAGTTCCCATCAGGAAAGCCAGTGTGCCCAGCCCAGGTGGAGCTGTGCACCATCTTCCCCTCTGGAGCTCAAGGTGAGGCTGAGAGCTCCTCCAAAGTGAGCAATAGCATGCCAGGGAGATGGCTCAGTAGGATAAGGGCTTGACTGGAAAATGCAAGGATCTGAGTTCAATCCCCAGTTCCGCAAATAAATAAATAAACAAAGTGAGCGGTAGCTATTCTCAGCAACAAGATCCCAAGCTCCTTTGAAGATGAGAACAGCCAAGTTCATCAGGAGATCTAGCATGACAGAGTCCTCCAGGAGAACCAGCCGCTCCCAGTAGCTTCTCCAGTGGGTTCCCCAATAGCCTTTAGTGCTGCCTCTTATGCTGCTGGCAACCCTCCCACACCCAGCACCATGCTGGTTCAATTGACCTGCTCTGAGAAACTGTAAAGTAGACTTAGAAGCTAAGCTCATGGCCACCAGGGGAACAGCAGAGATGCCAGCCCTGGCCACCCTGCTGGTTCCCAGTCCATTCGCTATTCGAGGTCCTATTCAGGACCCTCATTACTCGAAAAAATGACTGGGCATGGACTTTACCTCCCAGTGGATGATGGAAGTTTAAAGAATTGGGTAGGGGCTGGTGAGATGGCTTAGTGGTCTAAAGCACCTACTTAGAACAAGCTTAGCAAAGCACAGGGACCGCGGTTCAATCCCCAGCACCACATGCCAGCCAGCCCCGCCCCCTGGTGGGCTGAGCTGGCCACACACACACACACACACACACACAAATAAATAAAATTTAAAAAAAATAATAATGAATTGGGTAGCAATCCCCGAGGCTCTAGGCCCGGTTTTTGTCAGAAAGTTTCATGAGGGCACCAACATGGGAGGTACAGCTCTCCAGGCCGCTGTTGAGTCAAGATTTTACAACTCCTAGCTCTCCAGTATAGTCCAGGTGGTGTGTGAACAGTGTGGAATGTATGTCTGAGTAACCCATATCCAGAGCCTAGGCTGCTCCTAGGGTACAAAGCATTGGGGGAGCCCCAATTCAAAATGTGGCTGTGGATTTTACTGAGCTTCTTCCTCAAGCCTCTGGTGCCAAGGATTTGCTAGTTTTCGTGTGTACCTTCCTAGGCTGGGCAGAGGCCACCGCCACCACCACCCCTATAAGGAAAGAGCATTTGAGGTGGCCTAGATCCTTCTGAGAGAAATCATCCTCTGTTTTCAAATTCTCATTACCATAGTCAGACAAGGGGCTGGCATTCACCATGGAAGTGGTGCAGCTGGTGGCCAAAGGACTAATAAGAAGAGAGACTGCATAAAATACACCCAGAGCTCAGGGAAAGCAGAGCAAGGAAGCCGATTGAAAAGCCACAGCTGAGCAGATGCTACTAGGAAGCTCACCTGCACTGGGAGCAGCTCTTGCCAGTAGTCCTACTGAGGATTCGCTCTAGTCCCACTACACTGATTTTCCCCTCTTGAAGTTCTCTGTTAGAGATAGATAAGGCAGGCCCTATCTATCTATCTATCTATCTATCTATCTATCTATCTGTCTATCTATCTTATCTATGAGATAGGTCTTGCTACACAGTCCAGGCTGGCTGCTCTTGAGCTCATGGGAATACTCCCTACTCAGCCTCCCAAGTTATGGGATTACAGGTAGATGCCACCACAACTGGCCCCCTCCTATTAAGGGTGTAAGGGAGGGATTTAAAGGAGCTTGAGGCTTGAGGGGATAGCTCAGCAGTCTAAGCGCCTGCCTGGAAAGTGCAAGGACCTGCATTTGATCCCTGGTACCGCATGCCATGCTGGCCATGCGCTGTGCCGGCCGCTGAAACTGAGTGTGTTGGTGCACACCTATAATCCTAGCGCTGGAGAAGCTGAGATAGGAAGATCACTGTAAGTCCAAGCTGTGTAGAAAGACCCTGTACCAAATAAATAAGTTTTAAAAATAAAAAAGGAGCTTGAGAACCTCCTTCTGAGATAACACAAGCAGGTGTTAGGCTCAGCCACCAATGGGTTAAGCAAATGCATTGTTTCTGGACTCATTAATGGTTAAGAAACAATTACCCATGAGTTTGACCACAGAGGCTCCGCCTTTCAAGCCAGGGCATGGCATGTGAGTGAGAGAACATTGAGCCCTGAAATCCCTGTGGAGGAGCCCATGCATTGTTATTCCATCCATCTCCACCCGTGGTAGTAAAAGTGGATGAGATGGTCCCCTGGATTCGCTACAGCAGAGTAAACCCAGCATCTTGAGACTGGGTGTTCATCCCCAACTTGTCACCTCTTGGTAAGCTGATGACACAGAAGAAGCAGACCTAGGCCTCAGGAACACATCTAAAGGACGACAGTGGTGCTCTGGTCATTCTAGAGGCTGAGCAGTTTACACACCACAGAAGCCTTCAGGTGCTGCTGACTGGTGACGCAGACAGGCTTCATCCTTTTTGTGACTATCTGTGACGCACTTCCGCCCCTCACTCTTAGCTGTCTTGGGGTCTGTAGCCCTGTTTGGTCTTAGCCCTTGCTGAGAGAGCCCCACTGACTTGAAGTGTGGTGAGAGGTCCCTGCTGGCCCTCACCTCCCCCCAGAGGGTGGGATGTTTGCTGGTACTGGCTGCTTGTATGGGTCCCATTGGGGAACCTGAGTTCCCCATCATGTGACCCATGCATTCACCTAACCAGGCGAGGCCAGGGAGTTACTTGGATGGTATCACACCCACTTCTCATGCTTAGGGAGGATACAAGGGACCCCACACATAGTAAGACAACCTAGTCTGTCTGCCAACATGAAAATCAGTACACCTGCTTTGACCTGAAGTGTTCCCCAAGTGAGGAATGGTTCAAAGTCCAACACTCCCAAGGTAATAAATCATTAATTAATAAAACCCAGGTTACAAATCCCCACCCGCCAGTATCAGTATTTTTTTTTTTTTTAATGTATGTGCTACCATTACTACCATTTCCTGGCTAGTCCTAAAGGCTAGAGGGTTATCGTGGGAGGAGAATACAGGCTCAGCAGTAAGGATATGTGTGAACAGGCCTCACTCCAATCTGCCTGTTATGGTGACCGCTGGGCTTATTGCCTCTGTTGGCATCGTGTCTCCT